AAAAAAAAAAAAAAAAAAGAAAAAAAAAATGTTTCTATAGATACACATCCGCAACGACAGTTTTCTTATTTCCCTTTTCTACGTAGAATGCGAAAAAATCTAAGGATATGACTTTTTTTGTTTCTCACGACTTACAAGAAGAAAAAAAAAAACTTTTCTTCTATGCGATACAATTTCTACGGTTTATATGGAAGCATACATATATACATGTAGGCGCGCAAACGTGTTTGTATAATAATTATAATTGTATAATTCGTACCGTATGATCGATACAATACGTAACACTTACAAGCTGATTGTAACTTTGTTTTTTTTTCTTTTTTTTTTTTTTTTTTTTTTGTTTTCCTTCGTTTACTGCAACTTTCACTATACACGTTTCTGTGAGTCTACTATACTCAAGTATTTGCAGTAAATATAAATGTAAATTATGATTAATCGTTAAACAGGCACATCGACTTGGTTACATGACTTTTTTTTTTTTTTTCCTCTTTAATTTTACATCGATATAATAATGCGTGTAAATAAAGATACGGATAAAGCCAATTTGCATTCATTATAACGTGCTGCATAAATTTGAAAATTGTTTAAAAAATTAAATCGAACGGATATTTAAATATTTCGCGAGAATAAATTAGGGAATATTGTTATTCCGAACCTTCGTAATAAGTGTCTTTTTGATTATGTTGTAAAATTATCCATCGTCTGTCTGTCGAATTGGAATTAATTATCGAATTAGCAGTTTTGCATTGTGTTAATTTTTTTTTTTTTTTTTTTTAGGAAATTGAAAAATTTCTTTACGATGTAGGTAACATATCTAAAAATTCTATCATTCTATCGTTCTCTCTCTCTCTCTCTCTCTCTCTCTCTTTCGCTCGCTCGCTCGCTCTCGCTCTCGCGCTCGCTCTCGTTCTCTTCCTCTTTCTCTCTATCAATCACGCTAACCACGATCGTTTATTCATCTTCACTTGTTCATTCAACATTTTCGCTCTAAGTGTAAAATACTTCTAATTAAACTCTGGACATGGTTCACTCTACAATCAACATACCACAGCTAATATTCCATACGTTATCATACAGCTATGTATATAAAATAATTAGCAAAACAATGCCTAAGCGTCATTCCGTTAAAAACCACGAGATATAATACGTCAGCACGCAGAAAAATCATATTTTTTTTTTTTTTTTTTTTTTTGTTAAAAGTATTTCGCGAGTCGTAAAATGATGAGTGTGCAAATCCATCCTTACAGCTGTTTCAACGTTAAAATGTAGGAAGAGAGCCACTCGCGATTAATTATATGTACAAATCGACATTTGGGCATGCACATGTACATCGAATGCGGAGAATTGCAATCAATATTTTTTTTTTTTTCCCATTAAGAAGATAGAAATTGCTTCCTTTATGAATCCTGACGTGAAGAAGTGCGACAAGGAAGAACATGATTCGATTCGAGGGGAGAGGAGAAAAAAAAAAAAAAAAAAAAAAAAAAAAAAAAAAAAAGTTGCACCATTGACACGCTGATCGCTGATAGAAAGAATCGAGTGTACGTTAAAGAAAAAAAATGTGTGCAATCCGACATTGTAAGCGAATACTTGCAACGAACGTTCGTCTTTTTTCGACGAATTAAGTCTTGAAAAGATTGAATCACACATCAATCCTCAATCCTCTTCCCTCCTTCCCTCAAATTTTACAATTTCGCGATTATTATCGTACACACATCCCTTTGTTGTTGTCCATTCATAATTATTGTGTACCGTATATTTGTGCAATGTACTCGATAGGTACATTCTTAAAATATATAAACCCCTAATGAAATGCAAAACGTTGAAACGTAACAGGTGAAACAAAGGTGTCGATGAAAAGAAAAAGTGTGTGAAATTTATTGTACGAGAATCGTTCAACGTTGAAAAAAAAAAAAAAAAATGTTGTAAGAGCAAGAAATCTCAATTCAACGAATCTAATTCAATTCTATTGTAAACGGGGGATATCTACGAAGAAAACTGCTAATGTAATTATCTTAAAATCAGTGATGCCTAATCGCAATAATAATAAGTAGTAGTAGTAGTAATAGTAGTAGTAATAGTACTAGTAGTAGTAGTAGTAGTAGTAATAGTAGAAGTAGTAATAGTAGTAGTAATAGTAATAGTAATAGTAATAATTATAATGAGGAGAATAAGAGTAATTACGTAAAGTAAAAATAAATAGTGAGGCTGCTGCGAGAAGGCACAGCTTTTGTCAAATACAAATTAATCGTGCGATTAAATATATTCGTAACATGTTTGTTAATCAAAATAGAAGAATTCGATTCTAAACCCAAACACACACTTTCATGTGCAGCAACATCCACAGAAGGATGTATGCGGAAATACCACCAGCCACTCCTATTGAGACAACAAATAAAACTTGGAACACATTTTATTACAACGAATCAATGTGTTGTGTATGATGTGTGTATGCGTGTAATTGATCAACTCCCTCGCGACTATAGAACGGGATTCTTCA